CCCCACCCACTCCCAGAATGCTCAGGGCTCTACAGGAGGGAGAAGACAGAACTCAAAGCATTTCTAGCTAGTTCTCAGGTGATGTGGATGTTGCTGGTCCAGGCACGTCACTTTGAGAACTGCTCTCATGAGATAAGGACAGGGCTTGCTGCTTTTTCTGTGCCCACAGGAATCTGCTCGTGGTCATTGACTGGGTGCTGGTGTGTCAGACACTGAATGACTGTATGTGTGTGGCTGATGTTTGTAGGCTGGTACAGTTGTGTACCTGTGTACACCTGTGGGTGTATGGAACCTGAAGGCGGGGCAGAGTGTGTCCCTCATTAAAGCAGAAGATGGCTCTCATTCACCAGCACTGGTGGCCTTGCTATGCTAAGTGTGTGGTTGGTCTCCTTTGCTTTGAGGAGGGTCTGTTTCCTTGGCCCCTACCTCTCCCATGGGTGTGTATTGTGGGGATTCTTAAGACTTCCACCCTCCCAGAGTCAGCTCCACACACGACTTGCTCCAGTCCTGGCCAGGCTATGAGGCAGAGGCCTGTTCCCTCTCAGAAGCAAGCCATGAGCCTCTGTTTGGACATCTGTCCCTTGCTGAAGAGTCTGCCTTTGATCCCTTTTGGCAGCAGCAGCAGCAGCAGCCACTCAACTTTGGGGCTTGTTTCTGTCTCCTGCTCTGTTGGCCAGGGTTCAGAGGTAGAATGTGTAGAAATAAGGATGTAAACACAAGACAATCTTCTCTCTTTGCTGTTCTGCCTCCTGCTCCCAGGCAGCTGGAATTTGTTGAGCTTCAGGAGTCACCAGTCATAGAAGCCCAGAACAGCACAAATCCCTCCCCTCCCCCCGCCCCATCATCCTGCCACCTCCATTGTACATATCATGGGGATTCTATTTTGAAGCTATTAAACCTATGTTTTTATTTCCCCTTTAAATCATGTGTTCTTGTAGCTTTCCAACTATGGGCTTGTAGCTTCATGGAAGGTGAGGGCGGGGCCACCCTGGACCAAGGGGTTGCCAATCAGCCTTGCTGCTCAGGGCTGACCTGCTGAGTCCATCGCTAGACACAATGGTCTTGAAGGCTGGTCTTTGTTAAAAGAGAAAAAACATCTAAATTCCTTTACTTCCTATGGACACCTGAAGACCCTGGTTTGCTCATTGAGGTTTGGGAAGCAGAGGGAGAAAGGCCGGCTGTTGGCTCTGGCTGGGATTGGCTGAGCTGATGGCGTGCAGGTTGGGTACCTCTAGGAAGCAACTTCAATTCAGAGTTCACGGTGCAGAATGTTTATTAGGGATGAACGCCTGAGGAGGGCAGGAGGAAGCTGAGCCGTGATGCAGTAGACAGCAACCTTGGACAACCCGATTGGCTGCTCTGGACTGGAATGGCCCTTTAGAGTTGCCCCGTGTTGGACGAAGGTGGCCCGACCTTTACACTTCCGCTGCGATCACTGGGTGTAGGTTGCTCCAAGAAGGGGCCTGATCTTCCACAAGGCAGCTCTCTGCAGTTGAGACAATGGTTGAAGTGGTGATGGCTAAGAGCACTCCCAGCATCTCGTAGGGGGTCTGGAAAGCACAGGACGGCATCCACCATGGCTGAACAGCAGCCTCCACGCGATGTGGGCCATGAGCTTGCCAGTGCTCCCTTAGACTGGAGGCCTGACGATTAGAGTCAGGAGAGGAATTGTTTTTTTTTTTTTTTTTTCAGGGAATTAGGAGGAAGAGAAAGAGAGAGTTGCTGTAGGGATGAGGGCAGTAGATGGAAAGAAAAGAGGGCCTCCAGGAAGCATTGTGGACCAGGTGCCCCTTCAACAGTGTCTGAGAGACACCTTTAGAAGTTGCCTTAATATGTATGTCTCTGGCCCAGAGAGGGGCACTGCTGGGCTTGAGCCACTTGGTCATGGCTTCAGTGGGTCACATGTAGCATGGCAGGATGTTAATGCTGGAAAGTGCTACAGGTAGGTCATCTAGTCACCACAAAGTTCACCTTGACTGGGCAAAATGAGGACAAGGACAATGCAGTGAGCTTTTTATTCAGTTAAATGAATCTGGTTGGAAGGATCAGTCTTCATTCTGAGACTATGCCCTCTCTGCTTTTTGGGTTAAAATTTCCTTTCTTTTGTGAAATAATGGTTATGGGAGATTGTAGTTAGCCTGGTTTTCCTCTCTAAAATTGCTTACTCAATAGAATAAAAAGTTAGGGCCCCATATAGTTCCCTCAGTTAGGATTTTGATATTTTATTAGCTCATGAAATTCAAGGATCCAGGATCCCTAATCTGGTTCTTCATTTGGGGAAGAGGAGGGGGAGCCCCAAAGAAGAGAAGGCTTACCCCAGGTCCCATCGCCAGTTGAGGTAGAGCCACATCGCCGATCATTTCCTCCTGTACTCCACGACCTTTACGGGTCTGTCTGCCTTCACTTTCTTGAGGCCCGTCAAAGCCACCTCCCTGTAACATGGATGGGGAGCTCCTCAGGGCCTGGATTGTGTCTTGTTTATGTCCATTGTCTAGGACAGTGGCCAGCACATCATAGGTGCCCTATAAATGTTGATTGAAGGAAAATGATGAATAAAATTTAGAACATGACTCAGGGGTGAAAATGTAATTATATATTTATATCTATCTACATCTACCTATATCTATATCTAACATATAGATATGAAAGCCTCAAACTAATGAGACCAGCACTAAAGATGGGATTTCAGGCAACTTTGGGTGGGCAGAGCAGTGTAATGCCTGGCACATTGGCACATAGTAGATGCTCAATAAACGTCAGGTGAATAAGTGAATAACAAAGGATGAATAAAGTTTAAAATATCACCCTGTCAGGGCTGAAGGGAGTAGCATTCTTATTTTCACAGGACCTAAAGCTCAAACTGAAAGAACATGTCTGCGTAGGTCAGGCAGGGCTTTTAGAGGACACTGGGGTCTCTGTAGCATTCCAGAATTAATTCCTTATGGATAACCCCACCTTGTCTATAAGCCAGAGGGTCCCAGGCTGGCCCCTTTAGGAGATGAGCTCTGTGCTGCCTGCCCCCTGGCTCGAGAATCAGTGGCCCAGAATCTGGGGCTTCAGCTAGGGGAGAGAGAGTTGGGCTCTGCCAAGAGTGGGAGCTGCAGCTGACACCTTTTTTAAACACTGAGTTTGCTGGGGCAGTGCCTCACCCTGAAAGCCTGAAGTTTATATAGTTGGAGAAGAGAGGGCACGAAAGTTTACATCTGCTGTGGTCCTGGAGTACACAGAGCTCAGAAGCTCTTAACACAAAACAAATTCATTTTTCAACATCAAGCTCCAGCAAAATCTGCCCATCTATGGCAGGCGGAGGAGGAAGTGGGTGAGGCTTGTCCTAGTAGGGAGCACCCCGCCCCTGCTTGCTGGTTGGATAACTGAGGGTCATTCCAGAGGCAGCCGGGTGTTGTAGACAGAGTGGGTTTGGCGTCTGCTCAGGGTGTTGGCGAATGTGGCAGCAAGCAGTGTGACATGGGTGAGGTGGGGAAAGCGGGGTGACAAAGGGCCAGCCATTTCCTGGGCCCTGCGGGGGGTCTTTTGAGTGGGCAGGTGCTCCAATGATGAGCCCAGAGTTGGGAGAGAAGGTCATGTCTCTACCTTCATGAAGCTCCTGGCCAAGTCGGGGAGCCAGGTCCAAGCATAACAGAGAGAACTTGCCATACCCATCTGTCAAATGGGTGACCCCATGAGCTTCAAACTTCAGAGAAAGGAGAGAGAGGCTTTTTGGGATGTGGGGAGTGAGGAAGGCTGCCACTTCAATGGCTCCTGGAAGTAATGGAGTAGGGGACATGGGAATTAGCCTGATCCTGACTGAAAGGTCGGATGAGCCTGGCCAGCGCCCAGTGTTCCTGTGGGAAAGGACAGGAGATGAAGTGAGTATTAATCTCGGTTCACAAACCCAGGGGTACAAGAAAGGACCCATATCCTGATCCTCTAAATATCATCCTGGTCTTGACTCTGAGTCCCCATCTTGTTGAGCTGGT